TAAGATTTTAACAGTATGTTAACACTGTTGTTGAGTTCTGGATTAAATCTTAGTAGTAGCAATGATCTGTCTAGAACCTGAATGCTATTTTCCTGGATAAATCCCTGTGTCTATTTTTTTTCCAGGTATTTGCACCTATAAAAAGTGAGAAAGGGAWCAAAGGAACAAGTTGTGTTTTTTTTAACATGTCTAAAATCAGGAAGTTGAAAAAGTGTTCCCACTGTCTTCTTGTGTTTATCTCTGGTTTTCTAACTAAGAAGGATTCTTCTTGCTGTCATAACACTCGTAATAGTTAGATGGGGTTATTTTACAAACTGAGGTTGCTATGCTGCAGTAAAAATTTGAAGTAAAAGATTTGGAAATTGTGTGGTCCGTCATTTGTGTGGTATTTTAAGTAGTAGTCTTTTTCCCAGGAAGGATTTTGAAATCTGAATCTGAGTGAATTTCTGAAGAGTTGGTAATTCTGCTAGAATTGGAAGGTTGAGGACTGTAAATTTTCACTTGTTAAATAGCTAGCTTAACACATGGCAAATGAATAGGCTGAAAGGTTAAAGGCAGTGGTTCATTGAACTCCATAGGAGACTGCATGAGGCATGTTTCCAGYGTTACTGAGCTGTCTAGCTGACCTTTCCAGCTTTTTTCCCTCTTATAGCAGTGGGGAGTGTTTTCCATTCATGCACAGTCACGGGCTGAAGAATCCCTACACCCTTGGTTCATCACAAAATAGAAACAGAAAGCAATAGCACAACTGCCTTACCTGTTGCACATGTCAGGACACAGTTGTGTATGGAGAGGTATGATAGTTTTTGTCACTCTTAGTGGCAATGAAAATATTTTGTTCCATTAGCTGATATTGGAATTAGTTCCTCTTCAAGTATTGGGTGTTTTTAAAATACAATATATTTTAAAATACTGTGTATTTCGGTATGATAACATCGAAGTACCATGTGGCAATATTTTCACTGTTGAGTGTTCTGCTGGCGGTTAATAAACCTGTGACTGAACCTCTTGAGAGGAAGCTCTGTTTGGCTGATAATAATGTCCAGTATCTGTCAAAAAGGAACCACAACAGACAGTTTTTCCTTACCTACTTAGCCTGAGGACTTGGCAGGACTCCTGTACTAAACAGGTTAAATGAATGGCAGGTCTACAATGAAAAGCTGAAGAAGTGCTATTGGTAGTACAATGCAAGGCACTCTYTAGAAAGTCTGCCTGGAATGGCAGCTCAGCTTGTTTCCAAGCCCTCTTTGGCAGTGTGAGGTGGTTTCTTTCAAGTGTGGCACCTATCATACCAACTTGAGCCTTCTTGGTRGTTTGTAAGATGCAGGATAATTAACATCAAAAATAGAATGTAATGCTATTTGCACATATGTATGAAGCAACGTGTGAGACTCAGCTGATGCAGTCTGTGCCCAAAAGTGATTCCTCACCTGAAAGTCACAGARTCTTTCACACCAGATCTCCTTTGTCTGTTTATGCGTTCTCTRTAAATCACATACAAGTTTAACCATTCCCTCAAATACCTGTTTGCAACTCTCTGAATACGTCAAACCATTTCAAAGGATAGCAGAATGGAGTGTAAGCATGTCTTTCAGGTTAGTGAGGGAGAAAATTTGGGGAAAAATTAACAAATTCTTTAAATGTGCCCCTGGAATCATGTGATACCAGTATTCAGTGATTCAAGCTGAGGGCCTGTAGGCCTGGTGGCTGCTGAAAATGTAGGGTCTTGTTTACATGGCACTTTTCACTGCTAAAGTACTCATGACCAAAGTTTTACTCATGGAAAAAAACAGCTTGGCACTTCCCAGTGAGGACATGTGGTTGAAGTTTTGAGGATAGATGTGTCTGTTTGGAGGAGTTTGCTGAATCTGTGTGCCTTTTTTCTTCCTAACTGTAGCAAGGGACCAGCTCTTTCCTTTTGTTAGTGACCCACACCTTGAGCTAGTGAGTTTGGAATACACTGCACACTCTCAAAGTGAGGTTCAAACTGTATTATAGTAGCTGCACAAAAATACACGAAAATACATATATATATATATATATATATATATATATATATATATGATAATAGGAATACCTATACCTGATGAAAGAATGTTGCATAAAGCAAGGCTGTAGAAGTGTGACAGGGAATTTGGTGCCAAATCTAGTGCTTAGCTAACGGCCTCATCTTGTGGCTCAACTGGTCTCAGGGGAGAACTGAATCTATGTTGATTCTGCARGATTGCAGAAAAGAAGAAGAATTTTCAATTAATTCCAAAATAGCCAGTTTGTATGTGTGTATGCCTTCATCTCAGAGGAAGTGTGCTTATTCAAGATAGTATTTAAATATGTATTTAGGCAAATGGGTAAACATCAGTGAAGTTGTGGAACAAAGAATTCCCATCCTCAGAGCAAGTCAGAAAGGAACATTTGCTTGGGTAGGACTCTGCTTTCTTAAACTGATTTTTTAAAYAGTATTGCAGGCAATCTAGGATATTACTATTGAATAGTATTGAAGGATACATCAGAAACTGAAATCTAGGTTCAGAGGCAGAGCTTGAGCTAAACATTAAAGGTAAAGAAGATTTTCAGTCCAATAGCTACCAGTGCTGTGGAGTTCCTGGTTAAAGAAGAATCTTGTAGATTAAAAAAAAAAGCAATTGCATTATTCTTCTTGTTCATTYATCTTTCCATTTTGTTTGAAGCTTTCAAAGTTCATTTCCTTTGAAGGAAAGTTATATGAAATATGGTGTGCTTAGGTATATTTTCTAATAAAAATGTTCCTTAAGCATGGTAACATTTCTTTGAAATGTGGTGCATAAATAATAAAAGACGTGACGGCACAGTACAAAGATTATCTTGGCATGAGTCTGGGGTGACTGAATCACTTACAGAGCTTGATACTTGTTAATAATGTGATCATTGCAAAAGTGTGCCAATGAAAACTTCATACCTCACCAGTACGTGTGAGTATAAGTTTGTTAGTGCACTCGATTTCAGCACATTTTCTAGTACTGGACACTATGGATAYGTGAGTCTGTGGCTTTTGTGACACAGTGAAAACAAAGTGAGAATCATTTCAAGAAGGAAAGGTCTCRCATCCTGTTCCTTATCCCTTCTGACTCTTAGCTGCCTACTTCTTTCATTTGCCTTGAACCAGGTTTGATGCCCATCCTCTCACAGGGATGAACTCTCTCACTAAAATGGAACTTAAGWGTCCTGGCAAAAATAATGGGAAAAGTGACTTTTTTTTCTTTTTAATAAATTGAATTATCTTCCCTTGTAATCTTATGAACAAGGCAGCATTCAGTGGCTGCAAGGAGTTGTGTGTACCAGATCCTTTGCTGCCTGCTTTTGGGTGCTTATAGGTGCACACAGCAGCTCTGGGGGAAGCAGCAGAGGGGTGTTCTTGTGTGTTTGCTGTCAGCAGTATTGCAAGTGGTACMGTGAGAGCCTTAGCTGAGATGTATGACCAAACCAGGCTGTTATCTACCATGTYTGTGTTCACTGCAATGATCCCAAGTGCCCATTCCCCAAAGGTGCATCCTGTGGTTAAGCTGTGCGGAGTGATCATAGCTGAAGTTTGTTCAGAGCTTGTAGCCAATAGCAGATGAGCATGAGGGCCATCACTTTGCGGTTCTGAAAGTCTTGAACTCCTGTGGAGACAGTGGAGATTTGACTTAGACACTTTTCAGYTTAGTCCTGTTGATACAGTCCATAAAGCCACCATGGCTGTTTGCAAGCACAGAGATGGGTGGGCTGGCATGAGCAGGGAGGTAGAGTCTTGCAAAAGTCATCACACTTTCGGCATCTCATGTCATGCTGCCTGAAGAAGACACAATACCCTGCAGCACCACCACAGCAATTACAACTCGATCTGACACAGCCTTGTGTGGGGTCTCAACATGGGAAAAGAATGGGGACAGTGTGTCAGATCATATTGCTGAAAGTGTTAGAAAGCAGGAGGAAGCCATGATCAGAGGGAGGGATGAGCAGTGGAGGGAAGGGAGAGAAATTCCTCTCCCTTTTAGCAATGGTAAGCTGTTAATTTATTCCAGTAGCATCAAGAAACTACATCCACAGAGTAGTGTGTAGGATTCCTTTCTCCCTCCCTCCTGTGGCAAATACAGCTGAAGACAGGCCATTCATTTCAAACAGAGTTTATTTGGAGTGGGTCTGTTCTCAGTAGAAGCATCATTTTGGTTCTTAAAAAAAAAAAAGTAATTTCTGAAGTTTATGTCAGTCAGCAAAGTRAAGACCAACTGTTGTTGCAGGAAGTGCAGTTGCTTAGAGATCCAAAGCATTATGAGATAATTGTGGCTATAGTTATGCTCTTCTCTCTGTGGTGTTTGCTGTGTTTGTTTAATRTTTTCTGTTACAAGAAAACGTATGTGTTCAAAGGTGCAAGGAATTKTTCATCTCTTGCAAGCATGACTATTGCTCCTGCTGTCAGAGAAGAGCACTCTGTGTTTACTATAGTCTGAGAACCTTGTGGTCATGAAAAACACTCCAAAATCCTCTTTTGTGATGATAGCCCCATAACATTTAGTATTTTTGTGCTTCAGATCAGTGTGAATGTATCCCTACCACACCTTTCTCCAGGRCACTGTGTTTCAGCCAAAGGAAGAAAGTCTGTAAGTTGTGGGGAACTTACTAGGAAAATAGATTTCCTATTTGCCCATGAAGAAAATGGTGGGGTTTTTTTAAAGAGCATCAAATTGTTCATGGAAGATGAATAAAAGGTGAATGAAGTTCTTCAGAGCAGTGGTTTCATTTAAGATGCCTATATGTACCAACACGCGGTGTAGTATTTCATATTTTTATCAGTATCCCTTTTCCTCCACTGCTTGCAATTGTCTCTTTCTGTTTCTGCAGATAGTTCAAAATGTTCTGAGTGTTGAATTTTCTGAAGATCAGAATAGAGGGTCATCTCAATGCTATGCCTGGAGGATTCCAGCCCTGGAATCCAGTAGCTCTGATAATTCATTTCCCTTCCCCCTCTCCGTGTCTGTTCGCAGGTTATCTTGACGAATCAGATTACCACATCRCTGAGCAGTGTTCCTGCGCTCCAGGCAGACCTGGTGTCTCCAGCTGATGATTTGTCCCTGTCTGAAGGTAAGAAATCCCTTCTATCAGAACTGAAACTCTACTCTGACACAAATCCRCACTAACTTGCACTCTTCTGTTGATATACAGGAGGCTGAGAGAGTCATTGTCAAGTCTAACCTAACATAGTCTGGAAACAAAATTGTTATCCAGTTTCTCTGAAAATCCATTTATAAATAAAAAGAAAATACACAATGTAGCTAAAAGAATCAGAAACTTTCTAAAGGCTGGGAATGAATTATTGAGCCATGTCAGTTTCTCAGCATTGTACTGTCACTCACAGTGCATTTAAAGCATTATTTTCTCAGTCTTCTRAAGCTGCTGCAAGAGTAAATACACAGGCTAGTCTGCAAATTTCATCTATCTAACATTTATTAGTGATTCCAAAGAGAAACAACTGGTCACAAAGGAAGGAAAGCAAATCCTCAGTCCTGTTCCTTGTCTGGTTTCCAAGTACAGTGCCTTAGACTGCATCTCTCTGTTGTGTGAATGTAATATGGGGATTTTTGTGATGCCATATATTATTTTATATCTTCRTGCTTCTGTTTTCTGCACAGAATTAGAGAAAAGCACTTTTTTGAGTCATAGTGAGAACTTAGTGTACTAAGAAGCAAAGATAATTCTGAATCAAGGTTTACAAAGTAACATAATAATTTCAGTTTTCCCCACTTGCAAAGAATGGTCAGAGCGCTCTCACGAGAGACAGGTACAGAAAAGTTTGTTGTTTGGTGTTCAGTTCTTGCATAGACCCAAATGAGTGCTGYGAAGCAATGCTCATCTTTCTTGCAAAGGCATGATAATTGCATGTAGACTTTCTACTTCATATAGCATGGGTATTTTCCCTCTTTCCCAGTCTCCTTTCTGCACTTTCTGGTGATTCTGGTCAGCTTCTGTGTTCTGGTTAATCACAAATAGTCGTCTCAAGCTTAACACAAGTACAGCTTGATAGCAAAAACAATTAAGCACTTAAAACTAACATTATTTCTGCAACTCATTTCAGTGGATAGGAGAAAAAGGTTGAAGATAGATTTAAACAGAATGTCAGGGAACAGCAAGTAACTTCAGTGCAATGCCTTAACACACTGATTGATGTGTTTACTTCATAACTTTGTCAATAGGAGCTTGGCAAAGCATGGCCCATTAAATAATTTTGGAATTGTGCTTGTGGCTTTTATTGGCTCCAGCCATTGCCAAATTATCTCTGAAGTTCATTGCTCGAATATTGCTCCCTCCCTCTGGCGGAAAGAATTGAAATTTGGTAACCAGATTTGGAAGAGGAAGACATAATTTTTCACCTTTATGATTTCCTTCTTGACACTGTGTGTTGTCTTATTAAATCTTGATYAGAGTATTTGTGCTTCTCTTTGTCCTTTAGAATTGCTGTGTATGAGTTTCCTCTGAAAAGAAAGTCATAGCTGACTCTGTAGTGGGAGAATAGCAAAATATGTTTTCAGTAAAACATATTTGTGTCCTGTGGTTAAAATATTTGATGATACTTTGGAAAAACATGTGGAATAGTTGAAATKTTTCTAAATTTGCCAGCACATGTGAAAGATTCTCAGTTCTGTGTATGAGCTGTAGTTCAACAGTGTTCTGCAATCAGGACTATGCAAGAGGTGGCTTAATGATTTTTCTAGCAGTACAGGTTATTGATGAAGCTATTATGTTGTGTCTAAACTACCACCACTGTCTTTCACCTTTTAACTTAAGAATGGGTTAAAATGTACTGGTGCTCTATGTTTTATTCCTTTATTGCTCTCATTCCTTGTTTTTGGGATCCTTGGGGATCTGAAGAGGTAAAATATGCCAGCATCATGCTTGTTGAAAATGGCAATGTTTGTTTTGCCTCAGGACAAGAACAGCACAGACATCAGCAGTGCAGTTTCCTTCTGTAATTCAAGTTTTATCMAGGGATGTAGGGCTGATAAACTCCTTTCCTTCTCTCCCTTCCCTCCTCTCTTGACTAACACTGATGTGGCATTTACTTGCTGTGTTGCATAATGGAAGAATAGAGTGCATCTCCACACTACCTGCTTTTCTCCCTTTATCTTTCTTATTTATAAAATGGCTGCTTCTGTATTTCTGTTYTTCATCACTTTTAACCCCTGCTGTTTATCTGTGAATAAATGTGGAATTTCAGGGTCATTCTACATTTGATTTCCMTGTTTATCTTCCTATCAAAATACACAGGTGTGGCCAGTGTGTTTTGGTGGGTTCTTTTAACATCATGGTGTTGCCCTGACCTGAGAAAGTTCTCCCTTAATGTATTTCATGTTAGCTCTCAGACAGCTTGAAAGTCGCAATACTTTAAGCTTCTGAGTATCTTTTGTACTTTCAGAMTCCTAAATTAATTAATTAATCTTCTAGAGTTAGTATGTTAATAATAATGCTTACTATTTTGCAGCTATAGAATTTACAGGAAAGAGTAGTTAGGTGAGTAGCTGAAGTGCACAAAGAGGATATGTTGCAGAATCAGGGAGAAGAGGCCAAATTTGTGACTGGGCTCTTACCTCATTGTTCCTTGTCACTCATCACCAACTAAAGCTGAATTTGAACCAGTGACCTAGATGTGAAAGGACCCATAACACATAATTAGTCCTGTAAGCAACTCAGACTGCTTGGTTCRTATATGTCTGATATGTTGCTTTAATCCTATCTGAAATCAGAGTCCCTTCACTACAAATGGCTTGCTAAAAGGGTAATCATTCTTAGGTGAGGCAGAAATGAAAATTTCAAGCTGAATGTGCTGTTAGAAAGAACTGGAATGTTACAGTGTTTTGTTTTTGCTCCTGATTGTGCTTGAGRAGGGAATTGCTTGGGTTATGTGTTAGATTAGGCAAGAAACCAAGGAAGCAGTTCATCTGGTGTGTGACAGAAAGATAATCTGATGAACAAGCTGAAAGGACATTGTCAAGCTGTTTCAGGCTCAGAGCTTGTCTTCTGCAAAGTTGTCATCTAGTGCATGAAAACTTGTGTCCTAAAAATACATTGGATTTTTATGAGCCCATTAATGGRTTTATAAAAGCAGTGCTGGCTGTAAAATCCCATGTAGCAAAGTGAGAATTTGTGAAGAGTTTGTTGGTATTTGTTGTAGAAAATGGTTATGTCCAGCTAAACTCCCAGATCTGTGCCTTCTTTTGCTTCCAGATAGACAAAAAAAGATGCATAGCTTGCCACAAATTGAAGTGATTAATAAAATATCAAAGTTTCTCTACTCGTAGTCTGAGTCCTTGCATTCATTTGGCCTTTACATATGTGTCAGATTATTAGCTGAAGGAGTTAAAACTAAYAATATTTTTCTCCAGCTCTAATATTCTCAGACCTGTAATGCTGTCACTTCTTCCTTAGGAACCAAACTTGGTTTTTACTTGGAATCTCACCATTCTTACATAGCCATCTCTCCAACCTTGCCATCAGAGGGGATGGGGTGGAGGATGTTGTTGAACATTGCTGTTTCATTTCCATCCTTGCTTTGTGGAACAGCCTYTGTTTAGTTCTTCCAGTCAAAGACAACTCGGAGAAGCCTTAAAGTTATTTTGCATTGCAGGGGTGGCCCAGACAAGCCCAGGAGTACCCTAAGAACTAATGCTTTATTATTAAAACATAAAAAGTAGCTCTTACCCAATTAAAATAATATCCTTAATTAAAAAAAAAAAAAACAGATTCAAGCTCCATTAGGCTCAGTGAACAGTAAAAATATTTTGTATGACTGTTCATGGATTTTTTTAAAACAAGTTATCTATGGCTGTGACTCTATTATTTTTGCAATTTTGCCAAGTTCACATGATTAAATTTTACCTGATGCAAAAAGTCTTTAGTAACTAGTTGTAAGCCTGTGTGTTTTAGCACTAGGTGGACAGGGAGATTTGTGTTTCATTTGTGTGCTGCAAAGAGATAGAACAGGCTGACCTACTTGAGGTCCTTTCTAGTGCACCATTGCCTATGCTGTTAATGTATTTGCCAGCTGCAAGCTCCAACTTCCTCTCACAGACATCAAAGCCAAACTCCATCTTCCTTGGAAAGAATTCAGGGCCGTGTTGGTATGAACAAGACAGGATCCCTCTCCCAGCCTGCACAAAGTGTCAAGCAAAAAAAGGAATGCTGCCTTGGGCTTCTTCAGTCTCATCTWGTACTTTCAAATATTTGTTTGAAAAAGTCAGAATTATTTTGTGTTTAAAACTGTCTCTAAACTTGCGCTAGATCTGGGGAGGCCAGTGTTCAGTCTTCTGCCATTTGTGTTCATCAAGTGGTTTGTCACAGTATTGTATATTTTTAGTGCRCAGTGTGAGCAATGAGTTTTGTCTGACCTTTTCATCTTTGTTGCTCTGATCTTGAATTCTTTTAAGCTGTTGAGCAGAAGTAGGCTTTTGTGTTGTGGAGACTGGAGCAAACTAAGCTGCCATAATATCTCCCACCCACAGGATTTTCCTACTTTCRTTTAAGAGCAGAAGATTTGAAGCTGAAATCTTTGGCTTCTCTTCCTTGCTTTACCCTTGATCTCTTGTCAGATTGTGGTTAAATTTTCTTATTCTTCCAGCCTCACTTTACCATTTTTTCCGAATGTGGGGCTTTATTTTTATTCTGCAACTTTGTTTTTGTCTTAATATTTCAAGTTCTTCCTATGGGGAAAAYAATGAATCTTCTCTTCACCTCAGAGTAAGATCAGTGCTTATTTTATTACTTCTTAGAGTAGTTTATTACTTCTCTCTCTTCAAATCTCCTTTTTTCAGTCCTGATGCCAAATGGAGTGAAAATGCTGAAGAAATTATCAAGTGAACTGAGGAGCCCCCAGAGATCAGGGCTTGGTTGGTTGTTGGTTGCTTTCGGTTTGTTTATTTATTGACTTATGTGTACACTTAATGCTTGGGGCTGGACTCCCAGGTGACTTTATGAAAATAGAAAAGAATATTCTGTGAAACGTAAAGATACCTGTTTTRCAGGAGCCGTGGGCTTACGAATCATGCAGCTGTTAAACAAGTTCCTAAAACACTTCTTCCATATAGTGTTAA